CTCTTACCTGTCATTAGTTACCAATTCTCTCCATCCTTCTAAAACTTCTCAGTTTTGTTCCTCCTTTCCACTGTAATGTCCATCTTGCACTCCTTCTGCTCTGTATGCTAACAGCCACAGATTTTTGCTGCTAGGATGCTAGTAGTGCACCAGTGGCCTGCTCACTTGCTCCATGACAAATTTGTTCTCTCACCTGAATGGCTAACCAAATGTATTTCTCAAGCTTAATTGACTTTTGTCTCCACACCTTTTGCTGCCTTTATTTTCCAACTCTCTACTCCTTTTATCTCTGAGTCTCTCTGTGCACTAATTACAAGAAAACAAAGAAAGCATAATATAACATGAAATTCATTATCCCCTTAGCATTTTCTCTCTGATGCCATTCTTGCAATTCTGTCCTTTCTGTCAATGGTGAAATTTTTACTGTGTCTTCTATAATCGCTCTACTTTGCACCAGTAACATCATTTTGTCCTTCCTCCTGATCCACGCGCTTACCCCAATTCTCTTTTTCAGTCTCTCATTCACCTTCAGATCTTTCCCAGAAAGTACACAGAAAATGTATTTTGCCTTTCCCACCACCACAACTTTGACACTACTGGCCTCTCCAGCAGCCCTGCTATCCTTCTGTTTCTAAACTCATTAAGCACACTACTTAGAACTGATTGTAATCACCAGCTTCTACCGAGTGCATGTCACTGAAACAACTCAGAGGGTAGCAAATCAAAAGGTCTGTCTAGTCTAGTAACTTCTTCCTAGAAGTGGCCAAAAGTAGATGCTTAGGAAGAGTGTGGGAAGTACAACTACTATATCTATGCTCGTGACCGACAGATATACTTTGCTGTTTCAGACTTCTCTCTCCTGTCAAAACTAAAATATTCATCTGTTTCTACCGCGTTTTGTATGGATTTTACCACACATTTAAGTTCATTAAAATCTCTAGGATTTTCATGTCCCAGCCTTCCTCAAGCAGTATGAATTCATTCTCCAAACCATGAATCTGTTCTGTAACCCGGGAATTATCTTAAATTTAAGTATCTATTTGGATCTTCCTGTTCACAATATTTCTAAAACTTGCGGGTGCTTTCTAGTAGCATATCTAAGACTATTCATATATAAAAATTTACTTTCTCATCATCATTTTCATCTTATGTCTCAATACTGTAACACAGCTTTTAAGTTCATGACAAATGCAATTTTCTCCATGACCACAAGACTGCTTCAAATACAATTTTTTTTAAGTCCACTACTTTGGCCATGTTACTGCCCTTCTTTCTCCACTATGCTGGTTCCTCTCTTCCCCATCACAACAAATAAAAGACTTCACTTGATTTTTAAAGTCCTTCTAGGCTTTTACTGACATATTAATTACCTTCTAATGACTACTTAGACATTGAATCTCATCTCTGTTCAGTTCATGATGCTGACTTCCGTAGAAATGATGGGGTTTAGCACCCAAGTACATTTTCTGAACCTCTGCATAACTATATTCCACTTTTAAATATTATTTCTGAAACTATCAAGAGAATTGACATTCTTCAATACACATTCCTGTTTAACTGCAAGTCTAGTGAACTAATTAGTAACAGGTTAATAATTAAATAGCACCAGTAAAAAAAAGCTACCTGTTTATATTTCCTTTAGAAAGGAAATCTGTACAAATTATAAAGCTTAATAAACCAATATTAAAGAATTTCTGCTTGTGCTTTCTTCCTATTTGTTAATCTAAAATGTAATTCTAAGTGGGTTTAATTTCCAAGTCAGACATTCAGACATTTAAAGTTTCTCCCTCCTTTTTAAGTTGTTTCAAAAACCTTCCAAGACTGCCTGCCCAAACCAATATTTGTTCCATCTCCCCTCATTACAGTTTGGGTTTTTTCCTAGTTATTTCTTAACATAACCTTGTCTATTATTGGATCAAATTCCACCCTGCGGTAAGGAGCAAGTCCAGCAACGTGAACATGTGCTTTCATTGATAGACTACTGCAAGGTTAAATATGTCTTTCTGATACGATCCTGAGAAGGATACTGAAAAAAAAATGGCTCAAATTGCATTTCTCTGTGAAACACCATATCAAACATCATCAATTTTTTTGTGTGCTCATCTTCCACTGTTAGGCCATTGGTTAATTTATTATTTTTTGTGTTTAAGATCTATTGCTATATTAAAAGCCTATGTGTTCCTGGGATTGGGTTCTTAAAAGTGAATTAAGTAGTAGTTGCTGAAATATACAAAGTGACACTGGAAAAATTTCTATTGGAATAGCCACTTACCATAGTAAATTTTGTCCCTTGAATGTACTGCCTCCAAAGAGGCCCCCCTTTGGGATTACTTTCCCTGCCATGAAGCAACAGAAACCATAGAAAATGTTAGATATTAAATGGAATATTCACATCTATTCCAATGTTCTGGAAGAAAACATAGAAAAATTTCCTACTTCTTAACTCCCTAAGCATTGTTACATTCCATAAACACCTGAGGTAAAAGTAAACCTGAGGAGCTGGTGTAAATCTGCATAGACAATCCACTTGAGAAGAAGTTATTTTGGTAAGCAGCATCCCTTTTCTCTCTTATGACACTGCCTACACAGATCTAATAAGTAAAAAACTGGTAGAGACAGTTCTGGGAACATGGACTGAGGCAGACTACTAGTTGTAGAGAGAGTGTACTACTCCTGTCCAAATATTGTGTCTAATATAATGCAAGAAGTCTTGCTTGCTTAGGGAACTTTTAAGTAATTAGCTACCTCAATGAGGATGTTGTAAACTACTTCTATATTCAAACAGACTAACCCTTAGCCTTTTACTGAACCTGACCAGAAAGTCACCTTAAAAAAGGTTTTGTGTAGTCAAGCGAATGATTCAGAACCTGTCCAAAAGCTTAAACCAAGACAGCTGTTAAAAATGGCCAATACTATTGTAGTCAAGAATATGGGAGAGGAGTGAGGGCATTTTAAGACTGATCTCCTTTATAAAAATACACAGACAACTGCAGTTTCGAGAGTTCCTTTTAGTTCTGTAACTACAGGAGGAATATTTATTGTAGGAGAACGAGAAACGTACCACTGTGTCCCTCTGAAGAGTTGTGTGACCTTTTGGGTGTCAGGAGTTTGACCCTAGGAACGTATGTCTAACTCATTATTCGAGTATGCAACTCCATGAAATCTTTTTGTATGCTATTTTGTCAAGAATAAAAAAGGACAGACTTAAATAATTTACATAAAAAATGAAAGACAGGGTTAAGAATAAATCAAGTATTTTTTAAGCTGTCGAAGGAGAAACATGAATCTAGTTCCACCCCTTTCCCCAAAAACGTGCCCCAAGTCATGAAGAGAATGGCATTTAACTTTTGGCTCTTCAGTTTCTTTCTACTTCACTTGTAGCTTGGCCAAACATTGTTGTCTACTGTGTCACCTACTGACACTTTCTTTCTTCTTTGCTTCTGTTTTCCACAGAAATTGAATAGTTGTTCTTCAAACTGGGGCTTGACTCTGTTGTCCGCAGATAGGTGTCTAATGACATTTCAGATGTCCTTTAATATCCCACTTGGCCTCCAGCTGCAGTTCCAGAGTCTCTCGTAAGTTGTGTCATATCTGCTATCCTATGTAGATATTCTGGCTACCTTAGGACATCTCAAATAGTATTAGATGCTTCTTTTCAGGCAACCATGTCACACCTTGCTGTCAAAGAACTATTTTCAGAGACTATCACTGCAAACCGATAATTGATAATGATATAACCTTTGCCAGGAAAAAGGTGAGATTGCTGTGAATATACAGGAAATAGAGATTTTTAAAAGGTTAAAAAAAGCCAAAAGGATCAACCCTATGCCAAACCTCCAGATAAAGTCTACATAGAAACAGAATCTACCACCTTCATTTTCTGAAGTGTTTTACAAATCCATAACTTTTTTACATCATAAAGATTCTATCAAGGAAAGCTTATCAAAAAGTTTCCTTTGTGGATTCATAAAGAAAAAACTTGAAGTCACAACTGGCTCTGAAAGTACTTGCACCTAATCTGAACAGCTGTAAGCAAATACTCCAGATATCCTACATCCAAGGAATGCTTATCATGCTCACACAACTGCCATTACCATCCAAGCATGTCTTTTCTATAAAATTCCAATCAAACTCAGGCGCAGAAAAATGACCCGAGTGCTCTGGCCTTTGAGAGCTCCATCATCTCTGAGCTCATAGGATCAAAATGAAAAAAAAAAAGATACAATTATCTTACTAAATGTGTTCCTCAGATGTATGAAATACAATTTCTAGGATGGAATTTTAAGCCTCTAAAGAATTCTGATATGCAAAGTGGCATTAAGGCTTCCCTAACAGATCTGCTAAAGCTTTGAGTTTCCCTTCCCCTCTCCCTGAACATGCTACCACTCTCATATTCCAACTTCCAGCTGCATGTTGTGATGCTGTTAGAAGGGAGCTGTGAAAAATGTTACTGTACATTTCAGATCCTGAAACAACTATTGGTGGACAAGACTTAAGGAGCGTTCCACTACTCTGGATTCTGCCAAGACTGAAAAGTCACCTCTTTTTACTTTTTTACAGCAGATGAATACACAGGCAAGAGAAGTTTTCTTTGCCTCTCTCCTCTGGACCCCAAGCTTGAAGAATGAATGAAATCAACCTCTGACTGACTCTTTAACAAACTATAAAGACATGTTTAACGTTTAGAAGTGAATCAGGGTGTTGCAAGTTGTTCTGTCATGTCTCAGTATGACTTACCTAAGTACAGAATTTAACAACCTCTGAAGACCATTTCTATGGCAAGCCATAAAAGCTAGAAAAACATAACAGAATAAAATGACTCAATGTTTTAATAAGTAACTGGTCTTAAAAACTAACTTCAAGTGGGTGCAAGTGCTAACTGGTGAAGCATATAGGCTCTTTTGCTGTATTTTCCAAAAACCTTGAAATAAACGTAAGTATCATTTTGTTTCTAAAAATGACTGGAAAGACATATTTTTAAAAACAAACAAACAAGTTACCTGGCAAGGCTTCTTCATTTTAATTGCTATAACATGGTATCTGTAACAGCAGAGTTCACAGGTCCATGACCCTCTTTCACTTATCCACTTTAAGAGGCAAAGCTGATGTGTGTATCGTACTGACCCATCGCAGCGGCAAGGATTTAACAATTCACCCTAAAAAGGCAGCACAGAAACATTAATTTTAAAGGAATCTCTTAGGTACAGGTATACTCAATACTAAAATATTTACAGGTCTGTAACAACGAACTGGTCTCAATTTCTATAGGTGAAAAAACATGTATTTTTGGCTATAAAAATTCTCAAGAATTAAACTGTCTTAAAAACATCTGTGTGCTTCTAATGCATCAAAGCCAGATAACCGTCTATGCCTGCACATGTACACATGTGAAACAAGTGAAAGATTGCCGTGCATCAGACAGTAGCATTAGCCCTTTCAAATACCTCAGATGGTACCGATAGTGGTTAGATGCATTTTTCCAACAGTTATTTGCAGTCATCGCTAGGAAAGGAATGGGTGACGACACTGAGAACCGCACTCTCGGGGCAGGGTTCTGCGCTGTCCAGCTAGCCAGCTGTCAGGCAGGACCTCAACTAATGTAACTAAACACTTCCCCCCGTAGCTCACATTTTCTACATTATTTAAATCGGCTAATCTGTTCTTTCCTTGAAAAGATATTTGTAGCTAAACTGCAAGACAAGCTATAGAATGCTAGGTACGGATCCACTGCTGATGTTGTGCCCAGTAATGTAATGACAGAAAAGATCCTTGGAAGTCTTCTCAACATTACCTGTAAGCTCTCATTTTAAAGTCTGATAGACACCTGAGAAATGCGTATCCTTTAAAGTCCCTGAGGGGAGAGACAGCGAGCGTGATGGCAAGCAGATGTACAGCGGGCAAGCCAGCCGTGGCAAATCTCTGGCTTTTCCCAAAGCTCTGCGCCGACCCGGAATTGCCCCAAGCGTTTGTCACAACCACCTGGCACGGCAGCCGAGGCTCGCTGCGCC